TTGGTCTCGGCTTGGGCCACCAATTAAAAACTCAATCAACTTTGGGAATTTCAGTCTCTTTATTAGTAAGATACGTGAGTTACTTGGTGTGCTTTTAAGTATCCTTTTAGCTCTAAAATTCGAAATCTAGATATATCCTTGCTTTAAAAAAAAAAAATGAAAGTTCTTCTTTACCAGCTTTACACAATGGAATGAGCCTAGTGTTGAGCTCTGCATTTAAAATGCCGAAAGAAAACCTAGAAAGAATATTAATAAACAAGCAAAGAGAAAGCAGAGCCTACAAGGAGGGTGACATGCACTCTGGGTTGACCAGACCAGTCTTGGTTTATGCCTGTTTTCCCAGTGCCCTAAACCACTTAATGCCCATTTTCCTTAAATAAAAGTGTCTTGGTTTGGATGATAAATTACATGGTTAATCCTATAAGGAACTGCTGTCATTTATCTTGGGGAATCAATCCTTCAGCATGTCTGAACAAAGACAGGCCAAAGCCCAAACCCTTTATTGTGTTCTAAGACGTTGCTCTCTCTCCAGTCAAAACACAGTTGGACATCCCTACTCTTTGCTGATCACACCTGGCTACTTTCAGTTCCTCAAAGGTAAGGACCTTTGCTCCTGCTCCTGCTCCTGCTTGGCTTCTCCTCCACCCCCACCCCACACCATGGCAAGCTCCTCCGCAATCAGGAAGACTGAGCTGAGAACCGCCTCCTGTGGGAGGTCCTCTCTTCCCTCCGCTCAGTGTTCCCTATCCAGACCTCTGCTAGCACTTGGGCCCGACTGTCCTGCAGCTCTTTCCTAGTTTCCTCTCCTGCACTATTAGCTCTGTAAAGAATTATCTCTTAGCATACAATCAGCACTCAACAACATGTCTGATGAATGAAAGAGATAAGTACATAAGGATTTGCCAGCACAATATTGGCCAAGTTATCTTTCCTCAGAGTGAACAAGAAAACAGTGGACTTGAACTCATCCGGCCCATCACTAGTACCACGACCAGTAAGTCTCTTGTCTGGTATGTTCCTGTGATGGGCGGTCATGGTCTACAACAATCCTCCAGCTGAATTCCAGTTCCACCATTGACAAAAGTGGTCCTGGATAAGTTATACACCCCATCTTAACTCAGTTCCTTCAGTAGGACATGGGGAAAGACTATGGTCCTTGGTGTAAAGGTATCAACTGTGCATGCAGAGTAGGGCCCAGAGAATGTAGGCAATAAGGGGCAAGTTAGCTCCAGTGGTGATCATTTCCAGCCAGAACAGATCAAACTAGAAAAAAAAGTGTGTAAAGAGCCAGGATCATAATCCCCACCTGGATCTCTGTGGCTATATTTCCCTCACTTTGTCCCAGGGCTCAGAGGCAAAACCCTGCACACTGTCACCATTACTGTCTCTTTCTAAATCCTGGGTTTCCTCTTCTAATTATCCCCAACGGAAGTGTAGAATAGAGCAGGAAGAATAGAGCAGGAAAGGCTGGGACTTACAAGTCAAGACAGACTGTGGTCAAATAAGGAAGAACTTGCCCGCCACTCTGGTTCAACTGTGTACCAAACTCAAAAGGAATTCTTGGTAAAATGTCAAGTAGGGAGACTTCGAGCCTGGGTAAGGATTACATGACCTCATGCAGGGATAATAAACCCTGGAGTTAACTATACCTGTAACAAAACACTCACTCAATCATAAGCAGTCAGTTATGGTGCCGCGGCTGCAAACAGTGGGGAAGGGCTGATAAAAACCGCGAGTCCTGAGAGTCATCATTGGAAACAAGAGGAGGAAAGGAATGCTCCTGAAAGCTTTCTTCCACCCAGGCAACAAGGCACAGGCAGTAAGGCAGTATCAACAGAAACAAATGGGGTCACAGTGTTTCCATTTAATAGCACAGCACTGTTCAAACTTCCTAACAGAACACAGCACAGCGCGGATGACGGATTTTATTATGGAGATATAGGAGAGCATGGGCTCCGGAACAGGGAGAGCCTGCTGTGAACGCCAGCTCCTGCACTTACCTGGCTGTGTGACCTTGCACAAGTTGCCTAACTTCTCTGTCCCTAAGTTTTCACCTTGGAAAGAAGATAACAAATACATAATGGTACCTACACTCCACAGGACTGCTATTACAAATACTATTTCTATGGTAGACTAGTACTGGGCGAATGATTCATGCTATATAAGAGTTCGACAGCCCGGCCGGCATGGCTCAGTGGTTGAGTATCGACTTCTGAATCTGGAGGTCATGGTTTGATTCCTGGTCAGGGCACACGTGTGGGGCGTGTGGGAAGCAGCTAATCAATGATTCTCTCTCATCATTGATGTTCCTATCTCTCTCTCCCTCTCCCTTTCCCTATCTGAAGTGAATTTTTAAAAATAAAATAAATAAAAACAAATTTGACACATAAAAGTATTAAGATTCAGTGCTCACTCAAAAGCTGCTTACATACAGCCTTATGCTTAGAAACGGATACAGGTATTGCCACCCTGAACCTCAAAGGTGCCTTTTTTTTTTTTTTTTTAATGCTGACTCCCAAGAATTCGACTTGTTGACCAACAAATCCTTTTCCTGGTCATGAGGACTGGGCAACCCAGAGGTCACTTTAACATGGTGAAACGGAAACTGAAGGTTCTCTACACAATTAATCCAACTATAATCATTCCCCAAATAAATAAGTTAGATAAGCATTATTTACTGAGCATCCACATGGCCAGTCGCTTTGCAAGCTGTTGTACTTTGACTGGAAGATAATGTGGAGAAAACGGTCAACACATCTTTGCAATCCCAAAGCTGACAATCTGGCAGGGGAGATGGATATGAACAATAAAATGTGCACGAAAAACCCCATTGTCAATAAAGATTCACAATAAAAAGACCTTCAAGTTGATTAGAACTCTTGTTCCTACAAGACCAACCCATCTCTTCCGTGCAATCATGACTACGCAGAATTCAGGCAGCAGAGTACATTGTGTGAATGGTTTCACCTTGACAAGTATCTGCATAGGATGTGAATTCCCTATTCTAAGCTTGCTAACCACCCGCTCCACTCATTCTCCCATTCTTACTGCTTTTCTCAAAAAGGCTATAGTCCATTTATTTAATTTCTCTTTCCTATGTTACAGTCACATACACATAAAACTTCTTCCATTACATACCTAGACAAATAATGCTATTTTCCCAGAGGTTGTCACCTGTATTTGATATCTGCAGAGTCTTCAAGCTTAAAGTTCAGAGGGCAACATTACTTTTGTTATGTTTAAGTTTGAGGTTGGTGTGCTGGGGTGTAAGGGGCATGTAGGGCAGATATACACTGAAACTATTGCCTCATAAATCCTCAAAATCATTCTCATTTAACCTACAAAGCAATCCAACGCAACACAAAAGTTAATGTACATGAGTCTTGAAGCATACTTCATACATCTATTTGTTAAGCATTATACAAAGGTCAAAAATCAAAACAAGAACTTGGCAGGTTCATACTCCAAGTTCAATAGTCCTTTTCTGCTAGTGGCTTTATGATCTGTGAGCAGCAGCACTTGAGGTATAATAGGAAAAGTGGCCCCCATAAGATATGTTTCATCTATCATGGAAAATATATCCTCGTGGCACAGGTATGCTCAAATTCCCAAGGCTTTGGGTGACAATTAACATATAGGGAAACCATTTTTGTTCTTCTACTAAGCTTTGTTGGAAGGAATAAGATAATTTCATATCTAAGGGGCTGGAGTCCCCTGTGGAAATATTATCAGTTAGTTGTATCAGCAACTCTCGGGTCTCATCCTTATCCATAACGTCTACCTGAGGGTCTCAATCAGCACACCCAGCTCTGACTTCTACGATGCATTTGCCCTCATCAAAAGGAATAGGACCAATGCCTTACCAGGAATACTAGTGTACTCTGTGATGATTAGGGCTCCATCTCTTCCCAGGGACTAAATGGATGCAAGTCCTGGAGTTTCAGAAGAGCCACGCAATCCCTGGTCACATTCATTCAATCTTAGAAATTGGCCCAAAGAGCATTAGAGGAACTTTCCACTGAATTTCCATGGGGAAAACTGAAATGCTAAAAGATATTTTTAAAAACGTGATCAAACACTATTCTGAATATAGTCTATGTAGAGAAAATGTGATCCAATAGGGTAATTATGTAAACGAATTCTCACTGGGTGAACTTTTAAAAGACGCACTCTGAGCTCCAAGAGAAATGGCCTGTGTGTGTTCTTTTTGTGGGTAAATCTCCAGGGTCAGAAGAGGACCTGGAACTTAGATGTTCTTTAATCCCTGAGTACTTAAATGAAGAAATAAAAATATTCCTCCTGGTCATTACCATGAGTTTTTCATCCAGGAAAAACAATAGTTATTTAAGGGCAAACGTTGTTTGCGTATACATAGAAGAATAAAAACTTGCTCCTTACCTTAAAATATAAATTAACTTCTACTACTTACAAATAGAAAATGAATGGAGAAAATACTAAGTTTTCATAGAGATGAAGAATGCTATTAATTCCAATCCATTTTATACAGTAAATCTATACAAAACCTTGATATACTACCTAATGTGTGTAGTGACAATTACAGAATGTGAAAGATGACTTATTTATAAATAGATTCCTAAACATAGCTATCTATGAAAGCATATTCATACTACATAATAAACACTTTCTATCTGAAAACACTTGCATAGAGGCCACCAGGCAAAAATCCCACAACCGGGCTAAGGAAAACCTGTCAAAGCTGGAATTTTCAATACTTGATAGCCAAACTCATCAATGACATCTTTCACATCATCATGCACACTAAGCCACTGAGACACGCATTTCCTTAAAGCTAATTCTGTCATTGTAGAATGACTGGCACGCTGTCTTCACCACAGAGATTTGATTAAAAAAAATACCTCATCCCCTTGTAAGTCCTGCATATCTACTGGTGAATATTCATACCATGATCCTGAACTAACGAAGTTTATAATAAGACACTGAGTATCTGTAGAGCAAGCGACACTCAAGACAAGGCTTACCAAGCACAATGACCACAGTCTTCAGAAGACTCATCATGGTGTCGCGGTTCCGCCGGGGCCCAGAACTGTGCCGAGACATTCTCATAGTCCTCTGGCGAACATAGCCAAAAATGTGAGCGTAGAGAACCACCATGACGACAAAGGTCACCAAGTTGAAAATGGCCCAGAAGACCAGGTAGGAGTCACTGTAGAGGGGTGCCATGTTGGAACAATGCTCAATATCACAGATGCAATTCCAGCCCACGCTGGGAATCGCCCCCATCACAATGGCCATGGTCCAGATGACCACAATCACCACCACCACCCTGCGGTTGCTCATCCGCGTGTGGAGCTGCATGCGGAACACCGTGATGTGCCTCTCGATCGCGATGGCCAGCAAGTTGGCCACCGAGGCTGTCAGGCTGGTGTCAATGAGGCCCTGACGGAGGAGCCATGTGCTGACGGTCAGTCTCCGAGTATTAGGTCCCGTGTTGAACATCAGGTAGAAGTAGGCCAGCCCGGCAAAGAAGTCTGCAGCGGCCAGATTAGCCATTAGGTAATAAATAGGAAAGTGGAAGCGGCGGTTGACGTAGATGGCCACCATGACCAGGAGGTTGGCCAACATGATGAAGATGCAGACGGTGATCCCCAGCCCCATCACCAGCTTGCTGACCGTGTTCCATTCTGTGGCGAGATACTTCCCACTCCTGTTATAGAAGAAGGCGATGGACTCGTTGTAGAAGCACTGTGGTTCATTCATGGCTGTGAACTGAGAAGAGAAAGGAAGAAAGATGAAAAAAAAAAAAAGAAAGAAAGAAAGAAACCACAGAACCCAAATATATAGGACATATATAGGTAACACAAGATTTTGATGGTAAATGTCACCAAAAAAATGTTAAAAAAAGCAAAGAATTTAAAAATCTGCTTCTGCAAAATGTTCTATGATTATGTTGAAACCTCAAGGTTTCTCACTGTATTACTATCCTCAAGAGTTTCAAGATTAAAGACAGTTGGAGTTAAATAAATGACAAGGTCTGCGCTTGGTGGTTGCACATCATTGATGTTTACTAGAAAAGCCACATGGCCCAGAAATCTTACTTAAAATACATGAGGAAGATGAGAATTCTGCAGAGCGTTACAACTGGAACATTTATCACAGTAAAATCGACTTGGACCTGTTATTTAGGGAATCTGTAAACATAGTTGGTTTATAGATAGGGTATCATTGCCCTATTATTCAGCATTTCTGTTCTCACATAGAATGTCCTGTCTGTGACAGACATTTTTAATACGAGTCCCCACAAGGACCATCAGTCCCAACATTTCAAAGAGGTCACTATGGATCAAAGTGTCTTTGCCCAAAGCCAGCATTTGCTGTTCAACATTCCTGTGGGCAGCGCTGTCTATCCCCATGACTCCTTGTCCCCAGAATAGCAATCGTTAACCAATCTATGATATTTAAGGACTTTTTTTCTCTTTGGAAGACATAAGAAATATGTTACCAAACGTAATGTTCAAAGAGCAGCTGACCTTTTGACACTGCTTTACAAACAGCAAGTATACTTAGATTAGATAAAGAATATCTTTTATTCCCTGGCTGGTTTGGCTCAATGAATTGAGCATCGGCCTACAAACTTAAGGATCCCAGGTTTGATTCCGGTCAAGAGCACATGGCTGGGTTGCAGGCTGGATCCCCAGTAAGAGGGTATGCAGGAGGCAGCCGATCAATGATTCTCTCTCATCATTGTTGTTTCTCTCTCTCCCTCTCCTTTCCTCTCTGAAATCGATAAAAATATATTAAAAAGAAAATAATAATAATATCTTCCAAAATGTGGAGTGATAAATAATGTATTATGTGTTTTCTTATTTTTTAATGTCATCAACTAGAATATATTTGCTTATTATTTATACCTTACTTGAATCCAAAAAAGAATGAGGAAGTTTATAATAGAACTAGAAGCCCAGTGCATGAAATTCATGCACGGGCAGGCTCCCTAGGCCTCGGGGACCTTTCAGTGCATTGGATGACACACAACCAACTGAGCCATACCAGCAGGGTGAAAATATTTCTTGAAAACAGCCCACATCTACCTTTTTTCTTTTATTTGGTATTATGTTTAATTAATTACTTAGCAAATGTGATAGTTTTAACTTATATTTTTTAATTTTTTTTAATTTTTTTTTTACTTTTGGGTGTAGTTGAAATTCTAATAATGTATGGGTTTCAGGTGTGCAGCATAGTTAACCACTATTTTAGACCAAATATTCTATTCAATATCCACAGGTTGTGCATAAATGTTTACAAACCCTGAAAATTCCCCAACAGTATAAATGTTTATTAAATGGTTAGTCTTTTAATTCATCCAGATATCAAGAGACTCTTTCTTTGACTAGACTTGAAAAGTTTTTAGATCATGATTCTACCATTACACATAGCATGTTGTATAATTATTTATAGACATTACAGATGGATCATGAGAATTCTCACTTCATATTACACCGTGTTTTACAAAGTATCATACTTTAAAAAGATATTAGCTTGTAAGGACATGTAATAAGTAACTTCAAATGCAATGGGTATTTAACATTAAAGCATGCCTTTAACATTTATGTAAAACTTTTTTTGTACTCGTTCAATAGAAACATATATGGCCACTGGGTAAAGCTAGCAATAAAACTACTGGTCCGAAATGTTTTAACTTGTCTGTTTCTTACAGATCATAGTCCAGGGAAGTAGTGAAGGTCTTGTCCTATACATATTGGTGTCTTATGTACCTTCCACAGAATCTCATTCCCTGGAGATCTAGGCATTTGGCTTACAGTGTTCCATTCCACCCAAATATTGCCATTACTCTGGGTAACTAATCTCGGTTTTTTTTGCCTTTCAGTTTCTGATCTCATCTCTGATGACCTTCTATTTCATTACAACATATCTGCCAGCTCCCGTGGCCACACCCTGGACTTTGCAACCATTCAGAACGCCCTTTGGAAATAATTAATTTATACATCATATGTGGTGCATCAAAAAGCCACCAAACATGAGTCTAAATAAGATTCAAAACACACTATTTAAATTATAACAATAATTTTCAAATATAAGTTTAAATATGATGATTCAAAAACCACCAAATTGAGTAATTAATATACTAAAATAGAGTGACTACTTTTCATATTACAGAAGATGAAAAAAAGTGAAAATAGGGGCAAAAGATAATGCATAGAATGATAATTTTGTAAAATGTATATAGATCAGACTATAAATTATTTTATTTTCTTCAGAAAAAAAACTAGTATTTATTGCAAGAAATTTAGGGAAAAACACATAGACAGACAAAACTCTCAATAAATACCTTTTTTAACTTTATTATTCCAATATCCAAATCACTATAATTAGACATTTCTCTGTAATAAGTTACAGAAATGTGTCCTGCCCAAGGAAAAAGATGTAAATAAGATGGGATTAACCCCACATGAAATTATCCTCGAAGCTAGAAAGAGAAATCCACATCCATGCCCTTTTCACATCCACTGATTATATCTCAGGATCCTGGGTGGCTGGCTGTTCTACAGAACAGCTGTTGCAAATCTCGGAACGCACCTCACTCTATCATGTGATCTCAGAAGAAGTCAAAACAAATCTGCCAAGCTCAACTCGAAGAGGCACATGTGGTATTCATCTTCACTACGCACTTCACTTATTCATGTGCACATTCACAAACACGTACAGAATGCCAGGTACGGGCATGCCATTGCCCTGCCCCAGGCCTCCCCGGAGTGCCAGAATGACACACCTGAGTGCCTGCTGAGGAGCCACTCACAACCTGGCCAGTGGGTTTTTTAATCTCTTGAGAGACAATGACATATTCATTAGCAGAGGGGGAAAGGGAACACTTGGCACCGGCTCTCAGACGAGTAATTAAAACTATGTGACTTAGTAAGTGCTTAGATAGGAATGTAAATATGTACTCTACTGCCATTCTAAAGGAGAGATTTTCATATCTGCTGGATAAGGGACCAGCAATAAGACATAAATCAAGGCCTTCTCGGTCTCCCACTTGTTAAAGCACAACAATGGGGTGGCAGAGGACTTATTCCTGACCCAATGCTCACCAGCTGGTTTGCTCAGCGGGTCTCCAGACACTCAGAGTGCGGACTTTCTCATCTGCCAAGCAAGGTCTGAGTAGCCTCTAAGGCTTCATCGATTCTAGCTAGCTCTTAAATGTAAAGCAATCAGACCTTTGACACACGTCCTCCCCCCAAAAATAATTAGAGAAGAGGTAATTTAGAATTAAATGCCATGAATGCTTTATTAACAAGAAATACAGTCCCCACACTTTTTATGGCCCCAAATGAGAAACCATTCAAAAACTGGGATCATTTGCCACTAGACCTAAAAAATAGGCCACAAAACAAGGCTGATTCAAACAAAAAAATGTTCAAAGCTAGAATCCTTCAACTAGCTGGAGAACATGCAACTACTAGGTTTTTTTAAGTTTATCTGAAAAAAAAGCACATAAAATGTTACTTTTTATAAAGTAACAATAGATATGATCAACAGGATGAGGCAAGAATACGGTAATGTGAGCCGGCCAAACGCGGTTAAAGCTGTTGTAACAATCATAACCTGTATGTCTTTTTTTTCCATGAGAACAACGGTAAACCAATGTTTGCCCCACCCTGTACACATATCTAAAAAGAAACTTCCATAAATAAATTATAAGTAAATGAAAACACTTTGTATTTTTTACAACCTCTTGTAACAGGGTGAGATAAAGTGGGCAACATCATACTTGTTACATTTCCAAAGGGAGTGAGTTTTGAGTTGGTCCTAAGAAGAAGGAATGGGAAAATTCCCTAAAAATATAAAGACATGCCGGAGAAAACTTTGTCTTCTCAATGAACTGCTAAACTCAAAGGGATGCAAACCAAGGCGATAGGCTGCCCCACAAGCAGACTGTCAGATTATGAAAAAGGACATTAAATATTATGGCGTGGGCCCGTGGCCTTGACTGAGGCAGTGAGTTAGAGCTGAGACCCAATCATTAAGCGAGGAGTCTAGAAGATCTCCAGATCAGTAAAAGAATAGACCAGAAAATAATAACAATAATAATCTACCCACCTGCACTGGGGAAAACAAGCGAGTCTCTTTATTTTAGCTTAGGCTCCTGGTTGGGATATAAATAAAAGATTCCCTTCAGAAATCAGGATCCCAAGCCTGTAACACACACAGGTGGGCTTTGAAGTTAGTCTCTCTGTCAACCCACAAAAGGAGAAATGAACACAAAGCGTGGTCCGGGGCTGGCGCTATCCCCCTCCCCCTCCTGCTCCCTGCTCCTGCACTGGCCAGCATAAACTCTCCTGAGGACCCGCCTCAATGCAGATATCATGTACGAAAATCATACATGATATCTATTTAAGTCATTTTAATATCTATTAATAAAATTTTATAATCTCAGAGGGTTTTTTTAAATATATTTTATTGATTTTTTCAGAGAGGAGGAGAGAGGAATAGAGAGCTAGAAACGTCGATGAGAGAGAAACATTGACCAGCTGCCTCTTGCACACCCCCTACTGGGGATGTGCCCGCAACCAATGTACATGCCCTTGACTGGAATCGAACCTGGGACCCTTCAGTCCGCAGACCGATGCTCTACCACTGAGCCAAACCGGTTTCGGCAATCTCAGAGTTCTTACACCTATTTTATTATTAGAGTTATTCTAAAATATGATACTTGATATTCTTAATGCACATACATATAGATTTGGGGG